CTCTACACACAACCTGCTTGGCTGGCCCCACTCCCTTTCTCTTTCTTGGAGCTGTAACTGACCGTTCATTTAAGTAATTTTTTTTCAGTTTTATTGTGGCGAATACACCATTCTTTCAGTGTACAATTCAGTGATATTAATTACACTCACCATGTAGTACAATTATCACTACTTCCCGTTTCCTAAAGTTTCTTTGATCACCCTAAACAGAAACTCAGAACCTTTTAAGCAGTAACTGACCACTACACAGGAGCTCTGGTAGCATAGTGCCTAAAGCATTTGACTGCCATTACACCCTCCTCCTTGCTCCTGGTAGCCACTAATCTACTTTGGTGTCTAGGCATTTGTCTAGTCTAGATAATTCATACAAGTGAAATAATACAGCGTCTGTCATTTTGTATCTGACTTACTTCACCTAGCATGTTTTCAAGATTCACCCACATACCAGGCTAAATAATATTCCATTATATGAATACACCACATTCTGTTTACCCATTCGTCTACTGATGGACTGAAATAACTCGGTTATTTTCACCTTTTGGCTATTGTGAATAAAGCTACAATCAACATTGGTATACAATTATCTGTTTGAGTCCTTGCTTTCTTTGGGGTATATACCTAGGAGTGGAATTGCTGGGTCATATGGGAATTCTACATTTAACTCTTTGAGGAATTGCCAAACTTATCCACAGTGGCTTCACCCTTTTACAATCCCACCAGCAATGGATGAGGGTTCCAATTTCTCCATATCCTCACCAACACTTGTTATTTTGATAACAAAATATTTTTCATAATTTACGAGCTCTGGTAGCGTAGTGCCTAAGGCACTTGACTGCTAACCAGAAGGCTGGCGGTTCAAACCCACCAGCCACTTCTCAGAAGGAAGGTTGGGCAATCTACTTCCGTAGTGATACCACTTCGGAAACCCAAGGAGGGGTTATGAGTCAGGTCTGACTCGATGGTACGTTAACAACAACAACATCATTTTACAATAATATTTTTGACAACAAAATGTTTTTTCTTTACCAACAACATATTTTTTAATAACAGCAGTCCCAATGAGTGTGAAGTGCCACCCTTTCTTCTTAAAACACTCTTATCTCAGTTTCAAAGATTCAATTTCTCTCTCCATAAGTGACCTC